CATGGGGACTTCTTCAGTGATCATTAGCACTTCCATTTCAATGTATCAGATGAGTTTGAATAACTTGGATCGGTTTGTCAACACTGGATAATTGGTTTGGTTTAATGAGGGACAGCAGTGCTGGCCACTCAATTATTAGAAATTCACAAATATGAATTTTCGATGTTACCATGTGGCCATTACCTTCCCTTTTTAGCATAGTGCAGGAATAGCCCACATAAATATGTAAAAAGTACTTAATTTTAACATATGTTTTAATTTTCTCTATTACCACAAACTTGGCTGAAAACTCAAATTTATTACGGAACAGCTCTGGAGGTTAGAAGTCCTAAATCAAGGTGTCAATAGGGTAGAATTACTTTTGAGGCTCCATGTAAGAATCCACTTTCTTGTCTTTCTTGAGTTTCTAGAATCTACCCAAATTCTTTGGCTCATGGCCCCTTCTTTGTATCACTCCAATCTCTGCTACCATTGTCACATTTTTTTCTTTCATTATGATCTTCCTGCCTCCCTCTTTGATGGACACTTGTAATTACATTGGGTGCCCCAGAAAATCTAGTATAAACTCCACATCTCAAAATCCTTAACTTAACCACACCTAAAGTCCCTTTGCTATGACAGGTAATACTCAAAACCTCTGGTGATTAGAACATGGACATCTCCGGAAGGGGCACTGCTACCACACCATATTAACTAAAGACAGCCAGAAGTAGTATGATCTTTTGCATCCCTGCAATGTTAAACCCTCACAGCTCATTTCTGATCATGACTTCCTGTCTATGGCCCTCATTTCCTTGACACATCTATTTTTGAGACTTATTGAGACTGTCAACTTCTGGATCATTCTGTTGTGCTCCAACATTTATCCTCTTTCTTTCTTCCTCAGTTCCAGGCCCCATGCTCATCCTTCTAGCCACCCTGGATGCTCACTGGCTTGTGCTTTGGTGGCACCTCCTCTTTTCAACCAAAATTTCAACTTCGTTACTAAGCCTGTTGTGTTCTCCTGGAGAAAATCTCTACATGGTCCTTGTTATCAGCAAGGTAACTCCTGATCTTCAGCCTCTCCTCAATATCAGTGCCACCCAGAATGCCTTCTGTGTTTTCATAGTCTATACTGCCCTCGTGGTATATTACAAACTCCGACCCATCTTCTGATCTCTCACTCTCTTTGGGTGATTCTTTGAGGAGTAAATTTCAGCAATCCAAAAGAAGTCCATGAATTTTGTTCTTGGTGTTGCAAACTCACTTCTAAGCACACTTCTTCCTCCTTCTTTCCTGTGCCTGGGAGAGGTGTTCCCATCGAAGGCTAACCTAGAATTTTTACCAAGATTTTTCATATTCGATTCATATTATCCTCATGGCTTTTGTTCTATAGGTGCAAGTTCTGTTTTTGCAGTAGTATTCTGTAGTTGCTATCTCTTCTTTTTTACAATACACTCATGTCAGAAGCTCCTCAATTACCTGGAATATGTTTTGTTTTGTTCCTACAGTTTCACTGAAATAGGCCTTGTCCTACATACGGAATAACCCAAAGCCCAGTTTGTCATCAAACCCCATCCCAGGCTGGTTCTCCAGGTTTCCTAAATAAGGAAATGATGCTAACGCTGTCTTGAACACATCTTAGGTTTTGTCTCAATTACTGGATAATATTATGTCAGCTATCAGACCTGTAAATTCAAGTTCCTAACACATATACACACATGTATGTGTGTTATTCAACTTCCTCATTATATTTTATATAATATGCAATTTCCTAATACATACATTATACATAAATGCTACATGCTTTTTCCATTACTTCGTTATAGGATCAGCTATTCATCTATGTTTTATTACACTTATTTTATACCTTTTGGGAACATTTCATTACTTAATATATCTGAGAGTGTATCTATGGTGTGTGTGGGTGTGTGGTTTAAGGGAGCAATTTAGCTTTATTTATGCTTTTTTAGCAAATAAAAAATTATTCATTTGTTGCAGCATAATTTAATCATTTATTATGCCCTTACTAATCTGAAATGCCATCTTTATTATTCACTAGATTTATACACACACACAGTGGTGGGCGAAAGGAGGTCTGCAGTTGTGTGTATGTGAAACACGGAGTGTATCTCAAATTATTTTTGTTAATTATTGTCTAATTTTCCGTATGAACAACTGGGAACCCACTTTGGCCATACCACACACATGCACAGACCTGCTTGTTTTCCATTTTGCTGATTTTTCTCTCTGTGCTTGAGACATACCAGTCTATTTTGTTCGTTGCATTTTTATTTGTTTTAAGAGTACTATATGTTTTAATTATTTATCCTCTTCAAGATTTTTTCAGTTGTTTTTACTTCCTTATTTTTCTGTTAAATGAAAAAAAAACTTTGGCAACTTTGAAATGGAATTATGTAGCACTTATAAATAAACTATTTGAAGGAAGAAATGAGATCTTAAGAATAAAGTCTTCTTTTCCAGAATGTAGTATATCTTTTCATTATAGTTGTCTTTTTAAAAAGTCCCTCAGAAGAAAAAAACACACAATTAGATCAATGACAATTATTATAGTGTTAGACTTACGTTACTAGTGTTTTTCTCTATGATATGTGAAAGTTTGTGCTCTTCTGGTTTTATTTTGGGAAGTGTATTAAGTCTGAAAAATAGTATGAGAAGCTGTTCATTGTTCTGCATCTTTGATGCAATTTCCTGTTAAATGTTTTTCTACTAATTTGCATTAGTTACTTGTTGATTTTCTTGTTCTAGAAGTTGAACTAGAAGCACATTCTCCCCAGAGACTGTGGGTGCTGGGTTGGACTTAACACATGTGTATAGAGAAGAGGGTAGAATACAACTTCCTTCTGAGAACTGACAAGGGGAAACGGGGAGGCTCCCAGCCCAAAGAAGAAATTGCTGATAATATTTTCCTCACCACTCAGTGCTCGTAGAGCAGTAGGGAGAGTCATCCTGATGCACTCTGCTCCAGGGCAAGCCGAATTTCTATGATGGCTCAGTGGGGGCATCAGCAGCTCCTGGATGATGGGCGTCAGTGCATCCCACACACCTGGAGAGAGAGCCCTGGGTGTCTGTCTGGCAGGAAGGGTCTCCAGGGTTCCCAGCCAGGGTTCCCAAGACAAAAATGACCCACCACGAGGAAACCAAACCCAACCCCAAATCTGATCACATAATTGTATTTCAAACATCAGTGAGGCATACATTCAAACTGCTGTCCTATGAATTGAATCAGCTTTCTATCTAAAACCCACGGGCCTCAGCTTCTTTAGGCGTCAGTTTGGTGGCCAAAGCAAGAAAGTGTTATTTGCTGGCGGAGATGGGTAGTCACCGGGTCCCTGAGGAATTGTCCCAGAAACTCCTTAAAAATATTCCACTCCTTGAGGTTTCCACTTCTGAGAGTCATCTGGAAAAATGGTTTCCTTTTAAATGGTGGTTTTGCTCCTTTCCTGTTATTTGTTAACCACATTTTTCTTTTCCATTAATAACATCAATTCTATAGTTACACAGTTACATAAAACTTTTTTTTAACCATAAAACTTTTTCTGTCCAGGTCAAAGTATAACTTATTTGATGCTGGATCTCACATTTTCCAAACATCTCAGAACAATAACAATAATAGTGTCACGGACATTTTATTTCTGACCTGAAAATGAAATGCCTTTGAAATGAGCTGTTTTTTTCCTCATGATATGAAATATTTTTGTATTACTAATGGTATTATCAGAAATAAATGTTTAGATTTCTCAAGTGCCTTAGAGCAACTATGGAGAGAATCATATGATTTTGTATTTTGTGCATCACTGAGACAAGGTTTTAAATAAAAAAATCCTAGTATTAAGCTATCCTTGAATTTGTAGAATAAACATTATTTATAGTTTTGAAAAGTTATTTGTGTACTGTTGGGTTGATGTTCCCAGCATTTTAGTTAAAGCAAGTGAAATTTTTTCTTTGCAGTGTTGGCTTTATTTTTAAGGGTTATATTAACTTTGAAAAATAATTTGGGAAGTGTTTTATCAGTTTGTAATTTTGGAATGATTTAAGTAACATGAGATTTGTTACTTGAAAGTTTTTAAGAACTTGCTCGTAAAGGATCTTTGGATCCAATTCCTCCTTTGGAGATAGTTAATCGAACATTAAAAAATATCTTCTATGAATGTCAGTCCATTACAGCTTTCTAATTCTTACTGAATTTATTTCCCTTAAAAACTGCACTTTTCACTGGGTCCTAAGACTTTGTTGTCATAGAGCTATAAAATATATTTTTATAGTTAAAAAGTTGCTTCACATCTGTGCTTATATTTGTCTTTTCCTCTCTTTCTTTTCAGTTCGTATATCAGTAATTTTCATGTTTTAATGGTCTTTGTATAGATGAAATACTATAATAATCACTTTATCAATTCCACTGTTATTTTCCTGCTACCTTACATAATTTCTGCTTTTTTACTCATTCTTTCATTATATTTCTCTAAGATTTAATTCTGTGTGTTTTACTACATACTCTGCATTAGCATTCTTTAAAACTAGTTATGATCAGACACTTTGTAAATTAGTTTTTTTCCAAAAATGATTCTTCTAGGATTTATCAGAAAGATACAGATTTTTACAGTCATGAACCTGTGAGAACCGGGTTCAGTAATCCTATTTTCAACAGGTAACAGAAACAAAGTCAGAAAGGAGACGCCAGTGTCGTTAGGGCTTGAGATGTACTATGAGGTTATCAGATGAAGAGTTACCTGGTCTTTATTAAAAGTTATAGTTTGCATTTAGGAAAAGTTTCGCAAGGTTAAACCACGAGATCCAAAAACACTCAGGGATTTGACTAAATGGACGTACTTTTTACTAACATTGCCTGTTTGAGGCAACTGTGACATTATTGCAAGGGGGACGGACCATCCACCCCGTGTCCTCCAGACTTACACTGTGGCCCAGGTTCATTATCCCGGCCACCTGGGGACGAATACTCGAATGCCTTGCTCCACATCTGCTCCTTTGATTTTCACAAATTTCTCAACAAGAAACACAATAGAATTTTATTCTTTATGGTATCACATTGTGCACATTAAAATCCAATGACCCATTTCAGTTTTAAAAACCAGGAGAGGAAAAAAAAATGTTATCATCCATCATGAGCTTGGAAAGAGTCCTTTAACAAACGACGAGGGGGAGTTATTTTGGAAACAACTGGATTCTATTCTGGTAGACTGTGTTTCTCGGTAAAAGGTGCCCTCCCTCTGGGGCCAGGAGGTGGAGGCGAATTCCGAGCAGGACGCTGAGGCTTCCTCTGCTGCACTGCCGGCGCCCAGGGGGAATGAGTCTATGATGGTGGGTCGACTCAGCTCTTTAGTGTAGACTTCGATCTCATTCCAGTTTAGGCTTCTCTTTCTCTTCTTCCATACCTAAGACACAGGGAAAGCACTTTGTGTGAGCATCAGATTAAACCAGGAGCAGCTCTGCCACGCTGCTTAAAAAAAAAAAAAAAAAAACCTCTCCTCTTAACCCTTCTCACCCACCCTCCTGACCCATCCCTTCTCTCTAGCTGAGAAGGGAAGCCCTTCACGGCTTTCTCCAGAAACTTCCTCCGTGACCTCTCTCCACCAAATCAGGACAGAACATCTCTGGGACACACCCAGTTCTTACGGCTTCTGGGAGTAAGGGACTCAAGTCAGTTCTTGACTCACTGAGAAGCAAGGAAACCCCGACTAGTCCTGTCCCTTTCTAAGACAAGGCCTCTGGATTTTTAAAAATCAAGAAATATGTGTGTGTGTGTGTGTGTGTGTGTGTGTAAATAAATTTTAAAGCTCGCAGCCCATTAGTCACAAGAACTGTTTATATCCATTGGAACTGTTTTTCTTCCTGAGACTTATATGGATCTGGCCAGTAAGACCTCTGTCCGTTGTCTGGAGTGAATAGTTAATGATGTTTCATTTTCCTGGAGATGAAAATGTTCAAGTCATTCTCATGAATTAAAGTGAAATCGAGCAAATGGCTCCCTACTTCAATTTTTCTAGCTGACGATTTTTCTTGTGACACTGAATTCTCAGACACTTTATGCTGGAACAAAAGGACAACTGAATGCTGCATAGAAGGTTCTGTTGGTATTCTTTTGCAAATTGCAAGCTCTCTGAGGGCACAGCCTTTCACTGTTTTATTCCGGATTATATCCCTAGCACACAACACAGTGTTTTGTTTTGTTTTTTTTCACAATAGGAGCTTAATTAATCCTTACTGAATCAATGAATAAACAGTAAACAGAGGAGGTTTCAGCAGGCTGGACTGGTGGGAAAACAGAACAACGCATGGCATTTCGCAATATAAAAACTCAGGAAGTCTAGCCTCAGGGGGCCACCACGAAAGGGCTCCAAGTGGGAGACGTGCCCCCCCCCACCCCGCCCATCCCAGCTGCCAGTCTGTGTCCTGAGGGGCCAGGGTGGTGGCAGCGGAATGTGGATAACACGCTCTGAACAGGTGTCCTTAGACATTCTTTTAGGTTTGGTTTTCATGACTAAGGAACTGGCAGAGATCTGTAACGCTTTTTCCAAAGTAATTCTCAGAATCATATTAAGGAAAACTTCAAATCGAGGAGTCATGACATCCACAGGCAGGAGGGAGAGGGCAGAGGGGGGAAGGCAGGCGATGCCTTAGTTGTTGGGTAACCAAGGCAAAGGCAGACAAACACAACACAGATTCCGTTCAGACAAGCCACATGACTCGAGTTCCCACTTCATCCCCCGTCCATCCCTGCGGAGAAGCTATTGGGAGCTAGCCGCTTGCTTCTCTTTTTCAAGTCTGTTTCCTCCCAAGTGTTTTCTTGCAGCTGGGTTGGCTTGGCAGTGAGAGTGGAATCTTCAAAAGCAGGGGTGGAGAACAGGGGTGTTCACTGACCCAGACAGGGAAAATGGCTCCCCACCTACTTTCGTTTGGCAGCTGGGAGGCAGAGGGAAAAATTAGACAGCTGTAAATAATATTTGGAAGAACCACAGGTATAATTTCCACACAAATAACTGAAAGAAACCTGTCACAAGCTGAAGCCGGAGGTGCTTTCGGAAATGCAGAGGAAGAGCTGATCGATGCCCAGAGACTCACTCACTCACCTGCGATTCCCCCGGGGCTGGGGGAGGGGCACAACCTGTGGGCAGCGCTGGGACACGGCTGCTGGGTGGGCCTGTGTGGGACGTGCCTGGGTGGGCACTTGGCAGAGAGGAAAGGCGCAAGTTTGTGTCCCAGAGGCCTGGGGCTGACCTCCTTTTGTCTGCTTTCGCCGTCCTCACCCCAACCTTTCACCCTTGGACACTTCCATTTCTGGTTGTACAGTTTGACTTTAACAAGATGACACATTGGAATGGGAATAAATTCTGAGCTAAAGTACAGAAATATTTTAAGTGTTGTAGGTGGAATCGTGTCCCTCACCGAATCCATCTGTTGAGGTCCTAATTTCCAGGACCTTAGAATGTGAGAGAAGGCCAAGGATGTGGCTGCACGACTGTTTGTTCAAGAGACCGGGCATGCGACCTGTGAATCCAATTAATCATCTCAGCAGACTCTGGGAAAGACCTGTGGGGGACCCTCTGCTGATGCTTTGGACCCCCAGGAATTACACGGGAAGCCAAAAGGGTTTTTTTGAGAATGTACCAGCAGAAGCCCTGCTAGTGTAGACTGAAAGGGATGGGATGTAATGAAGGAAGAATAACTCCAAAGGCATTTTAGGGGCTGGATCCTTCTTGGTTCCAGAGGGTAGGGCTGCTGCCCAGGTCCAAGGATGCAGGGCCACAGCCCCCGTCCTGTTGAGTCCCGAGGACAGGACATTCAGCCAAAGGGGATTATTCTCAAGCCTTGGAATGGAATGGAATTTGCCCTGCTAGCTTTTAGACTTAGTTGGGAACCATGACCCTTTCTTACCCTGTGATTTCTTTCTTTTGGAAAGGGAATATATATTCTATGCCTGTCCAACCATTGTATTTTGGAAGCAGATAACTTTCTGTCTGGGTTCACAGGTTCACAACTGGAGTGCAATGTTGCTTCAGGATGAATCATACCCCCAGCTTTACCCACATGTGATTTAGATAGTATTTAAGGTGAGACTTTGAACTTCAGATGCTGGAAAGACTTTGAGGGCTATTGGGAATGGATGCTGCATGAATGAAGGGCATGAATTTGGGGGCAGACGGCAGAGTGCCATTAGCTAAATTGTGTTTCCCCAAACCTAACTCCCAGCACTTTAAGAATGTGACTGTATTGGAGATACTGTCTTTACCAAGTTAAAATGAAGCCTTTGGGGTGAGCCCTAATCAGATATGACTGATGTCTTTATAAAAAACAACAAATTTGGCCCTGGACAGTATGGCTCATTTGGTTGTAGCATCGTCCCATGGGCCAAAAAGTCCTGGGTTCAATTCCCAGTCAGAGCACATACCCAGGTTGTGGGTTTGGTCCCCTGTCGGGACACATGAGAAGGCAACCAATCCCTATTTCTTTCTCACAATGATGTTTCTCTCTCTCCCTGTCTCTCTCCCTTCCTCTCTGTCTAGAAACAATAAAAAAATATCCTTGAGTGAGAATAAAAAATTTAAAAAAGAAATCTGGAGACAGCCTCATATATAAGTGATAATGCCATGTGAACATGAAGATGGTCACCTATAAGCCGACAAGACAGGCCTGGAACAAAGTTTCCCTCACAGTCCTCAGAAGGAACCCGCCCTGCTCACATCTTGATTTTGGCACCCAGAACTGTGAGACATGACATTTCTATTGCTAAAGTCATCCAGTTTGTGGTACTTAATTGTAGCAGCCCAGGTGAGCTAATATAATAGCCACAAAGTCACGTGGAATTACTTTCTTTTAAAAAGAGCAAACCGGTACCTATTAATTTAGCCTCCTTTAAAGGCCTTTTTCCTAGTTCATATCAGGTTGGTCTGTTTTGTTATTTGATAAGGTAGGTCAATGGTTCTGAGTGAACTCTCTGAACTCTCACGTGCCTGGTTTTCCAGTGGAGACACTCTGATGGTTCACTTGAAATAACACCGATTGAACATCCTTCAGGTGTCAGCTCTGCAACCGCCTTTTTTGGTGGGTTACTTAAGATTTCTGGGCCTCAGTTGTTTCTTAATAAAAGGGAAGGGTTGGTTTAGATGATTTCTAATCTCCTCTTTAGTTTCAAGATTCTGTAACAATGTGATTTCATCTTGTAGTTGAGGCCAACATATCATACCGGGTGGAGGAAGTTGAGCCATTAAAAGTCATTTCGGATGAAAGGAAGGGAGGCCAAATGTGGCATTCCTGCTCCTTGGAGGAGTTTGGTGTGGGGTGTAGCAAATGTGCTCAGGATGGTAACACTGTGCTCGATTGTATTCGATTCATTCTACAGCACACACACACAACACACACTGCTTTTATTTATTTTTTGATCTTTAAATATCTTTTTATTGTATTTTTTCCATTACCATTTATCCCCCTTATGCCCTCTTCCACCTCCACCCACTCTCCTCCACCCGGAAATCAGCACACTGTTATCTAGGTCCATGAGTCCTTTCTCTTTTTTGTTCGATTCCTCCACTGCTTTTAATGGGCAGTTTCATGTCAACTACCTACAGGACCAGCCAACTGATGAGACTTGAGCAAAGTGGCCAGGCAAGGACTAGGGTAAACTGGAGCACCAGACCGTTGTTGCCAGAAGAGAACAGTGGGCTCGGTGTTGCCAGATCTTAAAATATTTGAGAAGAAAAAAAATCTGGCCTTCATATGAAATCTCCCAATTCTGAAATGTTGGTTCCAAATGAAAGCCCCACTATGTCAGCCTGACGAAACTTTTTTGCAGGTAAGGTTTGGAGGAGGCCATCAGTTTGTCATCTCTCCCCTATATGACAAAGATGACCTCTTGGCCCAAAACCTCTGTCTCCATGAATTAATGGCATGGTCCCAAGCCAGTAAAATTAATCTCTAAACCTGACATGAGTTACAAAAGATCAGTCAACTTTAACTCATGCTGCTTAAAAGAATGGCACAAATGAAATTGAACACATGACTAAAAATAACAACCCTTAGTTTCACTACTCATTTTTAACTTCTTACTCAAAGCTGCTAAAATGTAGTATTCTATTTATGTAGATTGGATTTTTTTTCTCTCCTGGTTTCCAGGCCATCTTTCTTAGAAGCTATAGAAGAAGGGCTGAAGGACCGTCGGAATCAAGCCAATCGAGGGGAAACAGGCAGTTATAAACACGTCCTCAGTAACATACATTGGGCATATTAGCTTCAATTGAAATATAATGTCCTTTCCCCAAAAAGTTGATAAAGTTTGCATTTTACTTTTTATTTAAAATTTTTTTATCATCACCTTAGGATATGTTTATTGATATTTAGAGAGAGAGGAAGACAGAGAAAGGGAGAGGGAGAGAGAGAGAGAGAGAAACAGACAGACAGACAGATGGACATTGATGTGAGAGAGAAACATCGACCAGCTGCCTCCAATCCACGCCCACGCCCCAACCAGGACTCGAACCCTTAACCTAGGTATGTACCCTGACTAGGGATTGAACCTGCAATGCTCTAACCAACTGAGCTACCCTGCCAGGACACACTTACCTTTTACTACATTTTAAAAGTTAACTAAATATTTTTATTGGTTAATTAATAGGGAAAGATTACTATTCCCATTGAACAGAAAGGAAAATCATTAAAATAAAATTTCTGGTCCCTCAAGTTATGGCCTGAACTGAATAAAAAAAATTGACACTTTTACAAATAGACCACTTATTCAAATCAAGCCAGCTGCTGGGAAAAGAAACCCTCCGATTCCTCTGGGCCATTTAACATCGGCTGGTACGTCGAGGCATACCATGTTAGAAGAGCCACACACAAAAGAAGTCCGATTCAATAACCATGCAATGACTGTTTTATTTGTCTAACTAGAGCACGCTCCTGGCAGAGTGTCTGGCACAAAGTAGGGCACTCGACGTTTGTGGAACGTGGATCATTTTCTGGTGATGTCTAGAGAGGTCTCTAATATCCCCACATCATCTTGCCTTTAGATGTATTCTCATGCAGGACTCAAGTCACTACATATCTGCGCTGTTGCTTTGGCCACCTTCCCAATTGTGTGTTATCTTACATACACTTTGGGCAGATTTTGTGCAGCTTGGGTAAGATTACGTGCCTTGCCGGGATGGAGGCTCTGCCGTAAATAGAAACAAAAGAGAAATCAAACCGTAGGTTAAGAGAGTTTATGCAGCAATGAAGTATTACCCTTTATTGCCTGGACTTCTTTGCCACTTCAGCCCTTGAACATGACAGTCACTGGTCTATCACAGTGGCCTGAGCCTTGCTTAAAGGTCAAGCAGAATAGTGGTGAGACGTCTCTGAGGCTGCCACACCCACGGAAAGGATGGCGTAAAAAGTGGAGACCTGGGTGACTTTTATTGAGACTGGGTACATTTAAAGATTTTTATTTGTTTATTTTTAGAGAGGGGAAGGGAGGGAGAGAGTGGGAGAAACATGATGTGTGAGAGAAACACTGATTGGTTGCCTCTTGCACTCCCCCAGCTGGAAACCTGGCCTGCAACCCAGGCATGTGCTCTGACTGGGAATTGAACTGGTGACCTTTCGATTCCCAGGCTGGTGCTCAATCCACTGAGCCACACCAGCCAGGGAGAGATTGTTTACATTTAATAATTTATCTATTTAATTGGGGGTTCTTTAGCTAAGGCAGTCTTTTATTAATCAGAGTGAACTCCCTATAAAATTTTATAGACTTGCTTCTTTTCTCTTAGATTTGGATATTTTACAGTGAGTAATAAACCATTCGGGTAACTACTAGGAGCTCTTAAATTAACACTGTTATTATGAAAAGGTAAGTCCTCCTAAGTGATTCTGTGCTATAGTGGAATTTTCCTTTGGTCTCTGCATACAGTTTTACGACAGGAATTCTCTTGTTTTATACTCCCCTAAATAATACTCACTTTTCTGTGTATCCCAGATATAGCTGTTCAGCACTTCTCCCAGCAGGTACAAAAAGTTCATTAAGAGGGTCGTAAACCCAAAGAAGATGATTCTGGCTCCTGGGCCAATGTGTTCCAGGAACGGGTACACCCACATCCCAGTTACGTGATGTATCCAGCACACCCTGCAATGGAATTGCAATGGAGATGAAGATAGGAGTTACTCTCACGCCAGGTTTCAAAGCTGCTGATATTACAAATATGGTCCCCCTCTTCCAACTTTTCTTCATCAATGCCCATCACAGTTTTGCTCCTGACACTTAGGAGCTACCAGAGACTTTGTTGTTGTTTTTTTTTTACTTTTTTTTTTACTTGGAAATAATTTTAGGTTCACAGAAAAGTTGCAATACAGTATTAGGGAATTCCAGTATGCCTTTTGCTCAAGTCTCCTGCATGTTAATATCTTGCATAACCAGCACAATTACTAAAATGAAGCAGTTAACATTGGTACAACACTACTAGCTGAATGGCATATTTTATTTGGAATTTCCATTTTCCCATTAATGTCCTTTATCTGGTCAGGATCCCACATTGTAATCAGAGGTCATGACTTCTTCATCTCCTCCAGTCTGGTAGTTCCCCAGTTTCTCCTTATCTTTTTCTGACTCTTGAAGGGGTTTGGTTGGGGATTTGGCACTATTTTCTTTTGTTTTTGGTTTTGGTTTTGTCTAAATACTATTATACAATCTTCTTAATCTCTTCTTTACATAATGAAACACTGTTGCACTGGGCAAGCACACTATAGTAAAACCCAGGTGAGTGTGTGCCAGGAATCAAGCCGCCCTGCCTCCCAACCGGATACCAATACACATCCACATACTGAGAGGGTCCCCCCGCAGCCTCCAGCCACCTGGCTTCCCGCAGCCTGGTCCTTGGATCTGTATTTGTTTCTTTCTTTCTCTTTCTCTTTTACTAATCTATTCTGTAATTATTCTATTTGTGTTCTGGAGATTTTTTTAGACTCAATGGCAACACAACATCATTAATATCCACTGTTTTCAAAAGTTTAGTTAGAATAGTTGCAATGTTGGTTTCTTTCTGACACAGCTAAGAGCTATTTTCCAAAATATCAACTGTTGTCAATTTTGGAGACTAAATAAAATATAAAGCATTTATGGCATGGCAATAGAGATTACTTTTTATACCTCTGTATTTTGGGGTCATTTTCTTTATTATGGCTTTACTTCTCTTTAAGAGTTTATCTACATATATAACGTGCAAGGTCTATCCAGAAGGTATCCAGCCATATCATATGAAAAATAGAGATGTTTATTGAAGAAGATACAAGATTCAAGGAACACTGTACATAGGACAATGGCACCTCAGTCCCCTTCAAAGTAGGCACCTTGAGACCTCACACAGTTCTCCCATCATCGTCAGCTGTCCCGTCGTATTTTCCTGAATCTCATCAACGGTCTGAAATCTCTCCCCTTTGAAAGGGGATTTTAGTTTGGGGAAAAGCCAGAAGTCACAGGGCGCTAGATCTGGGCTGTAGGGGGTTGAATCATCTGGGTGATTTGATGTTTAGCCAAAAAACTCTGCATGAGATGTGATGTGTGAGTGGGCACATTGTTGTGATGAAGCTGCCAATCACCAGTTGCCCATAGCTGTGGCCTTCTGAATCATCCGAATAGTTTCTGTGGAGGAATGTTCAAGCTTAATGCAAAATTTGATGCAGATTTATTGCTTTACTGGCTCAGCCATTTTGAATGTGATGGCCACACAGTACACATGCTCACTCAACTGGCATCTACTGCCCCCACTGACTAGTACAGTAAATTCATCATTGTTCACACATGTGCATTCCAGTCCACTCTCCTTGGCTGTTGGGTTACATTGATGTCATCCAAGCCATCTTCATTACATTAACAATGGCTGGACTGACCTCGTGTGTGTGTGTGTGTGTGTGTGTGTGTGTGTGTGTGTACTTCCTCTGATCCAGAAACCAACCTGGTATCTTTCTTTAGAGCTTGCAATCTCAATGAGGGTGATAGCACTTTTCCCTGAAGGAGGTGAAAATCGATTCTGGGAGGGTGGAGAAGAAATCTTATTCTTTTTATCTATAAAGCACAGGTACAGGTATACACAGAACATAGACTGATATACAGTTTATCTGTAGTATTAAAAGTTCATGGGCCCTGCAATGCCACTCCTGGGTATAGAGCCAAAGGAACTGAAGCAGGGACACAGATATTTGGGCAGCCCTGTTCACAGCAGCATTATTCACAGCAGCCAAAAGACTAAAACAGCCCAAGTATCCATCAACAGATGAATGGATGAAGAAAATGTACATACATGCAATGAAATATTATTCAGCCTTAAAGAGGAATGAGATTTTGATATACACTACAACACAGATGGATGCTGAAAACATTATACTAAGGGAAAAAAGCCAGACACAGAAGGACAAATATCATATGATTGCACTTAAATAGGATACTAGAATAGGCAAATTCATAGAGACAGAAAGTATAATAGGAGTTACCTGGGGCTAAGGAGAATTGGGGACTGGGGAATTATTGTATAATAGTTTCAGAGATTATGTTCGAAATAATGAAAATATTTTGGGAATAGGTAGTGGTGATGGTTATATAACATTGTGAGTGTACTTTGTGACTCTGAATTGTATACTCACAAATGGTTAAAATGATGAATATTATATTATGTACAGGGTATGGCAAAAATAGGTTTACAGTTGTGAGTCCATGAAACACAGGATTTATTTTTGCACTATTATTTATTAATTATTGTATTACTTTTATATGAACAATGGTAAACCTACTTTTGTCTCACCCTGTGCATTTTGGCACAATAAGGCATTTTCATGGGGTGGAGATTAGGGAAAAAATACCTAAAAAGCTTCCTTGGTGGGGGGAGTCAATAAGGAGACACACTGCCTTAAAGGGAGGAGGTGGTCATGAGATCCGGCCAGGCAGCTTGAGTAACTGTCCAAACTAAAATATTTCACCAAAAGAGGAAGCCAAGCTAGTCATTATTTTTTAAAGGCTGAAGCATTTGTGAGTTAGCAGAAATTCGATTGTTAGAACTGGCTCTACTTCCCAAATATAACCAAATTATCTGCTTCTCACCGTTGCCACCACTACCGTCTCAGGTCCTTATCACCTCTCAACAGAACCATGCTGAGGGCTTCCTTCACCTTGGCTGCAGTCTATTCTATAACCTATTCTCATTGGAGCCACCAGAATCCTCTGGGATTTTGATGCATACTATTGTTTGTACATTAGAGGCAATTTTATTTTCCCAATCTTGTCTTAATTAGTGTAGATGGTGTTGTGTGCCCATCACATAGCTTATTTTCATTCAGATAATATGCAATATCCCCAAAATGCAATACCATAAATCTATAATTGACTTTGCAAATCAACTTATAAAACAATCTGACTCACTGTAAAATTTTCCTCAATTAGGCAAGTAAGAGCAATTCAAATTATGAATGCTAGCCATATTTTTAAATACCTGTTCCTGGCATTCGACTTGCTTCCGGAAAATGAAACTTATATTTGAAGATTTTGGTAATGTCTCTGATGCCAGGTCTCGACTCTTCAGACATTGTTTGCAATGTATTTTTGGTCTGTATGGAATCATGACACTGAATAGGTAACCATGACCACATCCCGTCTATTTGTAGATGACTCCTAAGTGTCTATTTCCAGCCTTGACCTCTCCCTGAACTCTGGAGCCCCAGGTTGCCCACTGCACATTTCTACTCGGAGCATTTCTAACCTAACATTTCCATGACATCATCATCATTGCTGCATCTTAGTTTCTGTGCATCTCTGCCCTCCCCCCATCACCAAACAGCAAATACATGTCTCCCCTGTCTTTCACCTCTTAAACTGATCAGTACTCTGTCACTCCCTAGTAGCTTGGGGCAGAATACGTGCTTTAATGTGATATATAATCCCTTTCACCTTATTCAAGCACGTTATGAAGTACAATTATCCTCATTTCACGGATAATGAAACAGAGTAAAGACCTTGTCTAGCAAAATGGGAAAAGAATGCACATATGATTTCTGCTGCACAGACTTGCTTCCCTAAATGAGGCACATTCATTGCCTTCAAAAATGAAGTGAAGGTTTTCTTTTTAAAACGTTTTCTTGACTTAGTAGGCCATCCAACCCTCTCAGACACAACAGTCCTGTTGTGTGGGATTTCACCTGGATCAGTGCCAATGGTGCATCCTCTTGTCCCAACAAGCTGTGTTTTCACCGTTTGTATCCTTGATACAATCAAGGCTCAATTCTCTGCACATAAGTGACTCATGGGCTTGCTCATCTGTTTTTGGAGAGTTCTTCCTTCGTGGTTAACTTTCAAATTCTATCTTAATCGGAGGCTATCTTGTCTTAATGCCCAAATAACTTCTGCTTAATGTAATGATACCAATTTTAATTGTAGCCTAAAAATTGATAACCAAGGTGTGTTTGTGTGCTTGTGCACACATGTGTGTATACATATATGAAGTCTGTCCAGAAAAAGTCCACCCATTGTTAACATAATAAGAACGGTTTGTGGCCTGGCAGCCAAGGAGAATGGACTGGGATGCACATGCATGAACAATGATCATTTCACCATACTCTTCGGTGGGGGCGGTAGACATCATGGAGTGAACATGTGTACTGTGTGGCCATTACATTCAAAGTGACTGAGTAGAGCAATGAATCTGCATCCAATTTTGCATCAAGCTTGAACATTCCTCTCTTCCCTTTCAAAGGTGATTCTAGTTTTGGGAAAGGCCAGAAGTTGCAGTGTGCCAAATCTGGGCTGTATGGGGACTGAATCACCTGGGAGATTTGATGTTTTGCTAAAAAACTCTGCATGAGAAGTGATGCATGAGTGGACGCGTTGTTGTGACGAAACTGCCAATCACCAGTTGCCCATGGCTGTGGCTTTTTGAATCACCCAAATAGTTTTTGTAGAGGACTTCATATATGCACATGCTATAGTACCAGAAGACTTGTGGGGTGGTCTATTTTATTAAATGTATCTCCAAAGTCATTCCCTTTAAAGTACAGTTAAAAATGACATTTATTAATACCTCCTGAGTACTGAGATTGACACTAGGGATACAAAAGTAAATGAGGCAAAAGTGATTCATGTCTTCG